GAAGAAGAAGAAGAAGAAGAAGTGTGAAAGAAAGTGAATATGACTCTAGTTGAGCCAGCTGTTCTTCATGACCACGTATGCTGTGGATCAGGCTGGTGAAAAATCAGTGGCTATTTCCACAGACCAAGACCTATACAGTATTGCTGTATGCTTACATCTTTGAGACACACACACACACATTTAAAGGCCATTAACTTCCATGATTCTAGTCCCATGGTGTCCTTTTACTATCCAGACAATAACATATAAGGTAAGGACAAACTGGGACACTAAACACCCAACCGTTTCGACGAGAAACACCAAGGACATAACTGGGTTAAGAGCCACAGACACACGGAAAAGAAAAAAAACAAATGGCTGAATGGTTTCACTTTTTCTTTTTTTTTTTTTTCTTTTTTTTTTGTTTTGGGTTTTTTTTTTTTACAAATGGACGCATAAAATTCAAAAGTTAAATTACTGTACATAAAAAAGAAAGTCACAAAACACTAATAGTGCTGGTTGATGAGTTCATTACAGCTAGTTTTTTTTTGTTTTTGTCATTAATACTAGTCTACTAGTTGGTGAGACACCAAGGCCACGATAAACATCAATGACCAACGGAGTAAAGCTTCCTACTTTTGGTGTGTGAGAGGCCACAGATCCTGACATACTCTCCAAATATTCAAAAAACAGAGACAACAATGCAATATAATATCTTTGGGTATGTTTGTATCTATTACACATTTAAATCTTCTGAATCCAAACAAAAAAAATGAAAGTTTAGGGGAGTTTTAATATCAAAAATCGCATGTCAATATGTTCAAAAAGCAAGGCTTGGTTCCTCGGGTCGCGTTTGTAAACCTCCTTTTGAAGGGGTGAACTAAACAGGGAACCTTTGTTCCAGTAAGGCCACATCTAATAGTAGAGCACGTCTCCAAAAATCATCTGTTTTTGAGACTTAAATTGAGATTTAAAAAATGCAAATGGAAGTTTAGCAAGACAAAAAACAGAATTTTAGAAAGGAAACGGCACTAAAACCGTAGGAGTCTACACTCATGCCAGAAATTTAACGTAACAAATATCCAACTACAGCGAACTTTCTGATATGCGAGCTCCTACATGTGCTCTAGAACAAATGAACTACACTATGGCTACCGTATCAAAGAGACATCCAAAGCCTCTATATTGTGTTTTCTGGTTTATATTCCCGAATAAGACAGAAAGATGGCATTGTTCCTTTTGTGAGATCTAGACACATCGATGAAATGCTTAAAGGAAGCTTAGCGCATATCGTAATGCAGGCAAGGCAGAGGCATTGCTTAAAGCTCTTTTCGGTTTAAAGACTTTATAAAAATGATAAAGACTGATTTAAAAAAAACAGGCCCTCTGAGTTTCTCCCAAATGAAAAATTAAAACTACTAAACCGAATGGAAAACAAAAAGGGGAAGAAAAAAAAAAAAACAGTATTACAAAATACAAAGCATTAAAACTGAAGTAGTCCAAGTGAACCAACGTATATGAAAGTTGCTATATACAGAAGAAAAAAAAAAAGGGTGAAGCTCAGAGGAGGAATAGAACCTATTTGGTAACAAAAGCGCACTATAATGTTTGATATTAAAAAAAAAAGGTATGGAGAAAAAAAAAAAAAAATGTACCATTACTAAAGCTTATACAATATCCTTGGTCCATAAAAACTGTCATCTCACAACCTTTAGACCTCCCAGGCTATGATACATCTCACCATATCGCACACACACAGACCGCAAGGAAGAAACGTAGAAGTCATCAGTCTACGCATTTTGTACACGGCTGATGTATCATTGCTGTGGTCTTGTCTCCATGTCTTCTACACCTGTTGACCTCGGTGCTGGTGTTTCCTCTCAGGCATCGTCTATTGCTAGCACCAGACCGGCTGCTTAGAGAAAACCACAAGAGGGCACAGAAGAACCATTTCTCCAATATTTTGCCTTTTTCAACTATCTATCCCTTGTTTTCCGTGTCAGGGATTTTATTTTGAAATTCAATATGCAGCATTTTACAAACAGTTTGTAGTCTGTTGAAATTGTTTCACGCATAGCACATTGTGAGTTTGTGAGCACTGCTGCGTGTGTTATAACACCACAGCCGCGGCTGCATTAGAGGACGACGCTGTGATGGCATTAGATGTGCTGTTGGCACCGTAGGGAGTCGCTTCTCCGTTCCCTCCCATGCTGTTGCCGGTCGTGGAGAGCAAGCTGGTGTTGCCCACTCGGAGGATGGCACCAGCCGCGCTGCAGTGTGGACGGGGACCGGGTTCGGGTGTGTATGTGAACGTGAGCGTTGTGGAATAGATGATACCGTCGTTACGCACCAGCGTTACAGGGACTTGCACCGGCTGCCGCACCCACCGCCAGCCCTCGCGGAACGCCGAGATGTCTGGGACGACGCACAGCATGCTCTCGCCACACCTTTAGAGGAAATATCACGTCTATTAATAATTCAGTCTGTCACTGCCTGCAATATGTTTAACTGACAGTGGTAATAAAACTACATATTTTTCTTTAACGACCACATTAGGCTTTAAACAATATGTGTGGGGTCTTGTTCACTTCGGCTTTACTAGGCAGAGGCACTTCACTCAACTTACGGCCTGTCAAAGCTTAACATGTCATTTACTGCTGCATTTAACAGGTTTGTAAGGATTTAGGACTCCCTTGTGAAAATATAGTGCGCTTAACTGTATTAAACGTGCACTTGTAGTGTACTTCAAACCTTAAAGGGTTAGCTCACCCAAAAAATGAAAATTCTGTCATTAATTACTCACCCTCGTGTTGTTCAAAACCCGTAAAACCTTCGTTCATCTTTTGTTTTCTTTGCGCAAAAATGTATTCTCGTAGCTTCGTAACTTTACAGTTGAACCACTGATGTCACACAGACTACTTTGTCGATCATCTTGGTACTTTTCTGGACCTTGAACGTGGTAGTTACCTTGCTGTCTATGGGAGGGCCAGAGAGCCCTCAGATTTCATCAAAAATATCTTAAATTGTGTTCCGAAGATGAACGAAGGTCTTACGGGTTTGGAACAACACGAGGGTAGAGTAATTAATGACAGAATTTTCATTTTTGGGTGAACTAACCCTTTAAGTTTTTTTATGTACTTTAGTTTGCAGATTATATAATATAATTACAAGGACTCTTTCTTAACACAGCACAGTTCACTTTTAAAAAGTGGCCTTTTAATGTCATGGTTTTATTTTAAAGTACATAAAGTAACTGGTTATATATTTATATTTGTATACTGATATACAAAAACATACAATTTTCAATATAAATGACATTAAAGTACATTTCAGTCGACTATAAACACTTGTCAGTACATTTGGCAGTACTCTTTAACCATATTTCAATAAAGGTAATTATGAAATTATATATAAAGATATACTTTAGTCGGTCAAAAGCACTTTACACATTTACCTAATTGCATTTAATGTAAATATAATCCATAATACATTTTAATTTAATTGCAATTAGCATTACATTCAGTTCGCACTTAAGTATGTTCTTTCAAAGTATATTATTTATGTAGTAAGCCCTTCTTTTTAACAAGGGACACACCAGATGTTAAAATGAAACTTAATTAATCCACAGCTTATTTTAGATTTTATTATAGAAATTATTTTTTTATATGAATTTCATTAACTGTAAATTGAAGAAATTATTTAAGTCATAATGGCCCATGAAATATGCACCTTACACGTTAAAGGTCTACATGAAAAAGTATCATCTTTGCCTTCAAAATGTTATTGCATAAGAATACAAGTATTCAGTCTGAAAAATAATACAGTACAAATTCCTTAAATATAATAATGTACAATTATTCAAGTATTTTACACACCTTTTAAAGATCTAAAACATGCTTATAAACATTTATATTAAAGTCCTTTAGATGCCCGTTTATAATTGTATTTATTTAAAGTGCCACTATAAAATGATCTGTTCATAGACTTAACAGTATTTCAAAACCTCTTGGATTTATATTCCTTTTTGCCATATGGATATGTTTTCAAATAACATCCATACCTGTACATTGTCTCAGCCTCTACATCACCAAACCACACCCGCAGATTTGGAGTGAAGTTCTGTCCTGTCAGCTCCAGCATTGCTACGTCTCCTCCACCATTTAACTGCTCACACACACATACAGTGTACACACACAATCAACTGCAGGCAGAGACTTGTGAGTGGACAATGTAAGTAAGAGATGTAAGCTTCTGGAAAAAGTCTGTGTGTGTGTGTGTGTGTGTGTGTGTGTTACCTGTAAGCTCTCAACCACAGGCACGGGTGTGACGGGGGTGTGTACAGGGCCCATGCCCTCATAGAAGGTGTATTCTGCTTTATTAGTGCTGATGATTGTCCAGGAGGCACCATCATTTATCATCTCCTTATTTGGTTCCTTTGGGCATGGAGTAGCCTGCACACACACACACAAGCAAAACACACTTAAATACTGTGAACACAAAAATAGCAGTTTACAAAGAAAAATATTAGGTACAACATACAATCAACTAGTCATTATTGCAAAATAAACTCACAAATCAGGAGTCTTGTATCACACTGAGGGAGTTTATTTTGTGATAATGACTGAATGACTTCATCCTACTTCTTAGATGGCTACTTAAATAAATAAATACATAAACACATATATGGATGTGAAATTGTTGAAAATATTTTCTGACTAGATAAGCAAAAATAATGCTTCCACTAAGAAAATACATTACAATATAAAATCCATATTAATCTGCCATCAAAGTAACTTTTTTACTGACTAGTTTTTTTGTGTCTATTTCTGGTTCTTTGTATTTGTTTTCTTAATTTACATGTGAGCTTCTAGCCATCAATAAAAGGTTTTATGTCCACCAATATATACTGTTCAAAAGTTGTTGTTGTTTTTAAGAAATTAATTTTATTGAGCAAAAAGTAAAGACATTTATAATGTTACAAATTATTTATTTCAAATAAATGCTGTTCTTTGAACTTTCTATTCATGAAAGAATCCTGGAAAAAATACCATGGTTTCCACAAAAATATTAAGCAGCACAACTTTTCTTTAACAATAAGAAATGCTTCTTGAGCACCAAATTAGCGAATTAAAATTGTTTCTGAAGGATCATGTGACACTAAAGATTAATTGCCGCTGCACAAAGCTTTGCCATCAGAGGAATACATTACATTCTGAAATATATTAAAATAGAAAACAGTTATGCTTTCAATACACTTTAAATTGAAGAAATGTGTAGATAAGTAATTTTAATAGGATACATATTTCCAACTTTAAACAGCCTGCATAACTCAGACTGGCAATAAAATAAAAACTCAAACTGCTTTATAACATTCTCGTTATGAACATTACTGAAGACATCATTATTAGCACAATGAACCATTGCATTTGGATGCATTTACTCCAAGTTTCCAGAAAGCGACTCACTTGAAATTGGATGATCCTCTCTTGAGAAAGGCACAGGTACATCCTCTCGGTATCCTTCAGGTAAAAGGCACACTTATGCAGCTGGGAGACAGGGTCATCTGCATCCAACAAGGCGGTTTGCTTATCCACCTTACGGATGATCTGTGTGTGTGCGCATGTTCGGGAAAAAGACAGGCAAGGGATGAAGGAAAGGAAGTGAAGTTGATAAGAATATCAGTAGAAGTATCATAAATATCAGGACGACAACATTGTGTTGTCTTCATTTACCCAAACTGCTTTCTTCACAGCAGTGACTGATTCTGACCCCAAAAAATGTCTGTTAATTATATATACTGTCATCTGATAATAGCAGAGGTGTAAAGTATTGGAGTAAATGTAGTTAGTTACTGTACTCGTTCTAGTTTTTCCATTAAATACAGCACAATAGATCCTTGCCTCTGCCTGTTTTCCGCAGCTTCTCCACAACGTTACAGTTTTTCACTGGCATGTCGCTTTGACTAGTGCATCTTTGAGCATATATTTAGTATAAGTAAAATACTTAAGTACTGTTAAAATCAGATACTCTAAGACTTTTACTCAAGTTGTTTTGGAATTGGTGACTTGTTTTGGTATCTGTACTTTTACTCAAGTATGGTTTTTAGGTACTCTTTACACCTCTGGATAATAGAGAGAAATGATAACATGGAGAAAGTCATCAGAGGAACAGAGACACACATTGACATGGGCTTACCAGTCGAGGAAGAGCCATGCCCGTCACTGAGCACACGAGTTTGACAGTGTGGCCGTAGTGAATGTAGCCGTCTCGCACAGTGAACTCCTCTCCCTCTGACTCTTCATCATCCACTAAAATATAATTAACAAGACTAAGCTTATCCTGCGTGATCAGACCTTTCATTATGGTTGTCAAAACGCAAACATTTCGGTGGCAATAAGACAATGGCATTTTTCCATTAAATCCAAATTGTTCATTTCAGTAATAAAGAACAGAGAAGTTCATTTATCATTCTTTCTTGTCAGTATTGTTGTTTGGTTGACATTAATGACATGATAGACAGGAACAGGTCTACTAAGCTGCATTTACACCTCCTAATACACAACAATGGCAATCGTGTTTTCCAAATGACAAGCTCTGATCTGACTGGCTGGCTTTAGGAGTCAAGTTGCACAGGTGTGGCTGTGGCTGCTGATTCTAAGGAAGAACAAGTCTTCCGCAGAAGCAATTGTTTGCGATTCAATGTATTGGCTCGGAAAGATATTACAAGTTCTGTTTAAGAGACATAGTAATAGTAAACAAGCACACCTGTATAGTCAGTTTTGCTCTCAGGGTTATATAAGATTTCAGATCAACTTCCCCATAAACATTACATAAACTAAGTGAACTTTGGTTAAGTGTTTAGTCAGAAAGAATTGTTTTTGAAAGAAATTGATACTTCTATTCAGCAAGAATGCATTAAATTGATCAGAAGTAACAGTTAAGACACAAATAATATACAAATATATATTTCAAATAAATTATGTTATGTTAAACTTTCTATTTATCAAAGAATCCTGAAAATCATGCACCATGGTTTCCACAAAAATAGAGCAGCACATTGATAATGATAATAAATATTTCTTGTACACCAATTCAGCATACCAGAATGATTTCGGAAGGATCATGTGACACTGAAGACTGGAGTGATGGCTGCTGAAAATTCAGCTTTGTCATCATAGGAATAAATTACTTCTTAAAATATATTAAAATAGAAACGGTTACCTTACTGTAATAATATTTAACAATATTACTGTTTTTACTATCATTGATAAAATAAATGCAGACTTGGTGAGCATAAGGGACCTTTTAAAAATTTGTGAATATTATATATAAAGTTTGAGACAAACTCACCTCAGCTACAATTGTTGAAACACTCTCCTAGATGTTCATTTATTTTATTCAGATGTATTTGAAAACGCTAACGTGAAGTGTGATAATTTTTTCCTGCATTTGTTATTTTCAAGTGCATCCTTTCTTTCTTATCAACCCCAAACTTTTGAACGGTAGTTTATATCCAAGTTTTGGCAGGGATTACGCCCCTTGATCAGTTCTTTAACGATTTGGCAATCAACAATACTCCACAGAAATGTGCACAAAGACTTACAGAGGTGGATGTAGAAGGCTCCCCACTGCTGTGAGCTGGCGTGGAAGTTTCCTCCCTCGACGTGCAGGTAACGTGTACTGACCGTCTGCGAGCGAAGTCGGTTAAATAACGCCACTTTCGTTCCTGATGCTATACAGACTGCACACAGGAGAAAGACATAACTCTGTTAGAGCAAAACCACGGAGACTTCAAACTACGTTATCTGAATCGAAAGCCCTGTCTAACATCCTATTTCCCTATAATATGTCTTTTATTATTTCTTATATATATCTTTAATATAACAGTGTCATCATTCATTCTAAAACTGTCAAACAGTCTTAAAAGCATTGTACTGCAAGTGTTTCCTTTGAGCATAATGTGGGTAGTGAATACTCACGGTCTGCGTTTTTGAGGGACTGTTTTTTTTTGGAAGGTTTGGAGATGACCTTGATCCTCTTGCTGAGGAAGACGCCGATGTCTGTGCTGTTCCCGTAGAACATCTTCACCGACAGCATGAAGTGCTTGCGTTTGTCTGAGTCTGAGATGTACAATGTTTTGGCTGTGCAATAGTTCTGCAGGGAGGAGGCGAGATTTGTGTATTCATGAGAAAAATAGGTAACACTTTATTTCAATAGTATTTAAAACAAATAAATGAACTAACAAACAAATAAAATGCTGATTTTGGGCAGGAATGAATGAATGAATGAATATTTAAAACATAAAATAACTCAAATGAATGACTAAAATGATTAACTAAAATTAATAAATGATTATTTTTTTTTAAATTTACAAATAAATAACTACCATTAAATATTAAGCTTTAACAGATTTTGCAAAGGGTGCATTAATAAGAAAATATACAATTATTATCACAACTGTTCACTGAATGAATGTACAACAACTGTACATTATACATCAAATGTACATAACCTATCAGAATTACTTCAGATCAGCACTAGGTGGCAGCACATGTGTAGTGTTGATACAGCTCTCACTTTCAGGACAAACTCAAGAAACCACCATCAGATGGTCAAAAACACACAAAACCCAAACCTAAGCAGAAGGTACATTTCAGAACTCCCATCAGAGGTTGAGGGCTATGTCATCTTTACTCATCTCATGTTTATTGTGGCCTACATCATTAAAGGGATGTTGGAGCAAACCGATATCAATCAGCATGACCTTGAACACAGAAGCACGAAATCTGTACTTGACATTAAAGCCGTGATCTCTGTGGGTGACGATATCAGCTCACTGCACCTCATCTTGGAGAGATACTCGTCTAGACATGAGGCGGGGGAATACTCATGGCACGCAACTGCAGCTAATATCTGAAAACTGGTGCAATAAAAGGGGAATAACAGCAGTTCCACATCCAGTCAGACTGAAACACACATGTAGACATGGGTTAGGGGGCAGACCCAACCCCAATCATGTTTCACCCATATACATGACAGCCTCATTTGTTCTGTTCAGTAGCTTCTGTATTGGTGTCTTTGAAATGAAAAAGGAAAAGACGAGTCTGAAGTCTACTTTCACATCCTAATAGTGAAAGATTCATGTCTTAGTCTGGACCACTAGCCTTGGGAGTTTGATCTGTATCAATTTGTCACTGACAAGAATGAAACTGTGCTGGTTTAATCTAGCTAACATTTATGATGCAATTTCTATGACCATGTAAATCCACAGCATTACTATACATAGCTACAAAGACCATCATAATGCATTAGGGCACAGGGCATTGCTATGGGGTTAACAGGGTGCTCCGGGTGGTTTTAAGTGTGTTGCTATAGTGTCAGGATGGGGATGCTAGGGTGTCCTGGGTGGTTGTCAGGGCACCGCTGTGTAGTTGCTAGCTACGGTGTCTTTGGTGACTGACAGGGCGTTGCAGTGTGATTGCTAGGATGTCATGGGTAATGGTTAAAGTATTGTTATGCAGTTGCTAGGGTGTCAGGAGTGGTTGTTAGAACACTGTTATGCAGTTGCCAGGGTGGTTGCCGGGACATTGCATGGTTCTATTGTCTGCTAGGCAAAAACTGTAAACCAAAATGTAAACCACACCTCTTCTTAGTTCTTAACAAACCACATGATTCGATAAATCACTTATGTTTGTAGCACTGGGACTGGGACAAGTTAGCAACATTAAAAAAAGCCATTAGCTGTTTTAAAAGTCAACAGGGGTCACAAGGACATGCAAAGAAGCAGAACTGGTGCAATAAGTCGAGTGCTTCACATTCATTTTCAATTGAAGCTAAATGATACACTTCCTAGTCATAAACCATCTCTGATTACAGAACACATGTATATGATTTCATGAAGCGCACACTTTTGTTCTCTCTGGCTCTCATCTGGTATTCTGTCGCTCTTGACATGTGTCCAGGTTTTGGCTGTGCTGTCCACGAATAACAGCGCTGTCTCTCTGCCAAATGAGGCCGAGAGAGCTGTAACCGCGACATCAGTTCCCCAGACACTGTGTTTCTCTACAGTTATCATCTTGTCTCGCTTTCCGCTGACCTTCTCTCCTTCACTTCCCCGTCTCATATCACCTCGCCTCCTTAATCATTTCTTTTCTCTTTCCTGTCATTATTTGGTTCTTTTCTTATCAGCCCCTCTCTCACTCCTTTTTTTCTTCTTAAATGTTCTTTCCTTCTCTTGTCCTTTCACCTCTTCATCTTACTGCACTCTTCCCTAAAAATCTAATTTTCCTACCTTAGGGAATAGATGGATGGTATAAGGGGTTTCACATGGCCATGGGATCAGTTTTTGTGCTCAAAAACAGATAGATGGAGAGCTTGGAAATGGAACAGGGGTTAAAAGTGAAACTCTTTAATGTGTCTTAAAATTGCAACGCTCATGGGGTAAGATGCTAAAAAAAACTGTGAGTCGCAATGCAAACACCAGAGATTAAATAAGAAATATTGCAAATGTTCAGTATTTACACTTGCTATAAGGTCAAAACACATTTTACATTTCACCTCATGAATTCATCATGAATCATAGTTGTCATTTACCTTTTTTCATTGCCGTATGATTTCTGTGCAACTTTAGCGTGTAGGATGAGCACAGTTTGGTCTCCTCGTTCCTTCAGGTAATTCCGCATGGCTTCTCTGAAATCACAGAAGAAAAAGAAGCACATAAGACAGAAAATATTACTAAAATATTACTAAGAACTAAATTTTGAGTAATGCTGTAGCCAAGTACTCTAATATGTTTTTAAAAATTAATAGCATATGCATTTTTTTTTTTTTACCTTTGCCAGGTGAATAAATGAATGAATGAATGAATGAATGAACGAACGAACGAACGAACGAACACATCCACCTCACCAGCACACACTCACCTCAAACTGAAGTGGTATAACCAGAGATGGTCAGCACGTAAATTTGAATGGGAGGAATCATTACGCTCAATACGGTGGCTATAGGAATGAAAGTCCCGCCTTACAGTTAAAAGAGCCAATCCTCTGTTTGTTTACTCTAGAACGCACTTGCACATTATAGTTGGACCAGCACTTTTTTTTAGCATTATTTGAGTTTAAGAACCACATTATATCGAGACATTGTTGTCAGATTTTAACCTGATTTAATTTAAGTATGTTACTGAGACGTAATTTCGACAGACTTTTGGTCCTTCCCCCATTTAAGTTGTTGAATGGAGCTGTACTTTTATGGCTGCCAAGTGACCTGATTTGGCTTAAAGGGACTTTGGTATAACGTTATCATAGATAAAACAAAAATACATAACTGAAACAGGCAAGATTACATTTTTGATAAGCATTTTCATAAAATCTGCAAATCTCTATGACTTCTACTTTGCTTTTCACTCGTGTGCTTTAACTTCAATGCCACAGTTTTGAGTTTTTAAAACACATCCTTGTTTCAGACCTGTAAAACCACTTTAGAAGTGCTATTGTAGAGGGTTCTGGTGAAAGCATGTGGTGTATGTGTGTGCGTTTCTTTAAAGAGAAAGCCTTCTGAAGGCCTGTATGCGCTTCAAAAACCAAACCTCCAGAGCTTGACTAGAAACACAGGCCCAAGTTTGATTAGCCAATTCTCTGGTGAGTGCAACTATGTGTTGCTTGCAGAAAGCACACAAACACTGTGGCCAAAAACCTCAGCTTTCCAGCTGGGGGTCTTTAAAATAAAAAGAAGGGGAAGAGGGGGGTAAGAAAAAGGGCAAAAGGACAGCAGTGTGTGTGTGTGTGTGTACACAAGTCAAACGGCACAAAATCTCTTAGCTCATAATCAAAGAATTTCGATTTCGTGTCAGTCTTCCAATTACCTCAGTTAACTAATGAAAAACATCCCAGCATGTGCAAACATAAATTAGCTTGCTAAATGTGGACACTCTGTCTGGACACTCTGAAACCTGGCTAAAACCAAATGATTATATTGGTCTAAATGAGACTACTCCACCAAGCTAAAAAAAAGTTGTCTGCTCAATTGTGCTCCTTCCTGCAAAAAAAAAAAAAAAGATCTCTATGAAGATCCTACCTGTCCGATCGCTACCACTTTGTTCAAATGGGGAGTCATCTCAATTATCACCAGTAAAATATGGAGTGCCACAAGGATCTGTCCTAGGTCCTCTGCTATTTTCAATATACATGTTGCCCCTTAGTAATATTCAAATGCACATTATTATTATTCTTTAGTTTGGGTTAAACAAATACATTTTGCTTGGTTGGAACAGCAGCTACGCTAATTATGTCTCTATTTTGTTTCTCTGTTTTTGCCACGGGATTGACATCCCGTGGTAACTAGGATTTACACAAGCTTCAGTCTGGATCCAGAACACCTGAGAAGAGATGATGCCAACCCCTCAGAGGACCTCAGATGATGCCAACCCTGAAACAACATACAGAACTACCACATTTTGCTATAAGTTTGATTGCATCATATAATAACTGCTGTTAATACTGTTCATCGTCTGTTTGACTACGTCTTTAATTGATTACGTCTTTAAATGATTTTTCCGTACATACTGCCATATGTACATTAACTGACAGTCACCACTGATAAGCTACCACTAAATATTGTAGAAACTTAATTTGCTGTAAAGTTGCTTTGCAACGATTTGTATCGTGAAAAGCGCTATACAAATAAACTTGAATTGAAAAATTGAATTGAACATGAGGGTGGGAGGGGAAGTATGAGAGGGAAGAGAGGTGAAAGGGTTGTACTTCGACAATAATCCTTTCCTACAAGACAAGAGACAGGCTCAATGCACCAAGACTAACAGGAGGACTATTGACTAACTCTTAAAGTAAATGTAACTTCACACACTGGCCTATTCAAGTTTCCAGCAGAAAATCTGTGCTGTGCAGAGCACTCCCCTCAAAGTATTTTGGCATTTTGAAATCATGGGAGAGAATCTTTACTCTCATTGGTTGTCGCTTCTGAAGATATGCTAGTAGCATAGTGTTGTTTGGAGATGCAAAGAGCAAAAATCATCTTCTACCAGTGGAGACAACGAATCAGTACCTGTATGTCTGAAGAAGCAGAAAAGACAAACATGGAGTTTTGGTTCCTTCCCACTGCTGCCTTTGGCTTATATTCACGATGGCGCCGACGCTGATGGCTGCCTCCGTGGCGTGCTCCGCAGTTGTTTTTATGTTTTTGTTAGTTTGTCCTGTCTTTAGTTATATTCCTGCAATCACTTTCACCAGAGACGAATTGCTGGACATTCGCTACAACTGTCTATTGTTCTATACCTGGACATACAATTGTCGATTGTCGATTTGTATATTTTTTATTCCTTATTTTACTTGTTCTATTTTTATTTATTTATATATATTTTTTTTATTATTATCTGTGTTTTTTGTTCTGTCACTGTCATTCTGTTACACTGTGGAAGCTTCTGTCACGAAAACAAATTCCTCGTATGTGTAAACATACCTGGCAATAAAGCTCATTCTGATTCTGATTCTGATTTTTCAGCTGGGGCTTAAAATACATTTAATATTCAGTAATATTACTGATTTGACTGCACTGACCCTGTATGATGAGAACAAAACTTGAACTGACTTTGAGCTGAACAATGACACTACGGTCTTCTGAAGAGCTGCTTTATAGCTGAACCAAATTTTCTTCATAATTGATGAATTTTGCAACACTGACTCTATTATTGAATTGAATTGCATCTACATTGAACTAATTTGAGCTGAATAATGATACTATTGTAGAGCTTCTTTAAAGCCGAAACTGAAGTCTTAATTGATGAAATTTGCATCAACACTGTTATTTTCCTGTTCATTAATGTGAAACAGTTTGAAACAATCAGTATTGTATAATGTGCTATATAAATAAATGTGACTAGACCTGGCTCAAACTAAAAATATGAGCGTAAAAAATCAGTACAGCATACACAAAGTGGAAGGATTTGATGACAGAAAATCCTAGTAGTGATGCCAAAGTTGCTTCTTCTTTGTTGGACGGGGTAATTTATCGCTATTTATTTAATGGTATTTATTGTCAGCATTTTTATAAAAGCAACATGATTTTCAACCAATGAAATTTCTCAGTGGGTGCGGCTACCCACAAAAACAGAAACCAATTCAGACAAAACAGCTTGTCTTTGGTCGCAGTCATGGCTAGATATGACAATCAATCAATCAAATAAATAAATAAATAAATGACAGCTTATTAAATGTTATTGCTTATTTTATGACGGTATGTCTAGTTAAGACACAGTACTAGTCTAAACCTATAGTAGTTTGTCATGCACTGTCAAATGTTTTGTCATGCTAAATGATTTTCGAGTCATTTAGAATGCTAAAGACAAATCCTATCTGACAGGTTGCATACAGTTTTATCTAAGATCTTGTATGTCAGTGAGCGTCGTGAAGCGAGTGAATATTGAACGGTGCTGAACCTCCCAGCCTCACAGGACACACACGAATGGTGAATTCCTGCAGATCTGGTGATGTCATCTTCCTCAGGCCCATGTCATCTGATACCTTTGATACTTCTAATAACCTGCCGTGTGTGTGTGTGTGTGTGTTCAGAAAAAGAAGACTCAGTGGCCATCTCCGACATGGATTTGGCTCGTGTACTTCAGAAAGGACAATCTCTACTGAGCAGAGTCCTCTCCTATCCACGGATAAAATGTACCCGTATCGCCAAATGCTAGTGAATTCCCTCAACAGTGCAAAGACAAGAATGTGCAGAGCACATGAAATCAGCTGCACGTCTGATTCGTGATTACAGGCACCAAAGCAGGAACATTCCGAGACTTTCGACATTTCCCTTCAATGCTCAAGTGTTTTCTCATCAACAGGGTTCAGCTTTGATATCCGGCAACCTGACAATTCACAAAAACACCAGCAGTGTTTACAAAGCATCTCAGAAGAGAGTTATTGATGGCCATCACCATTTGCAGGGGTGCTGGGAAAAACCATAACACATCTTCTGTTAGCATAATAATCAAAGATCTGACAGTATAGCCCTGAGCTAAATTACGTTATACCATCTGTTTCTTGAAAGTTGGGTCAACATGGTCAGTTAGTCAGCAAACTGCTGACTATAGTGAGGTCGACCAGTAAGACTCTACACATTTTTTTTGGCAACAGTGCGTTAAAAGAGGCTAAATTTTGAGATGTGGCTTATCAGAGAGGGTTTTAATGTGTCAGCAGTAGGGCTGGGCGGTATGATGGTATGTATCGTTACCGCGGTACAAAATGTAAACCGTAAGAGATTGTTTTATTCCGTGTATACGGCAACATGTAAATAAGTGCCATTTGTAAATAAGTGCTATTCGCTGCCATTTGTCAAAGAAATGTTCCTGTGGCTCAGTAGTAGAGCATTGCGTTAGCAGCGCAAAAGGTCGTGGGTTCGATTCCCAGGGAACACACATACTGGTAAAAAATGTATAGCCTGAATGCACTGTAAGTCGCTTTATCCAAAGCGTCTGCTAAATGCATAAGTTAATTAAATTTAAAAATGAAAAGAAACACGGGGAAAGACGAACGAGCAGATCTGGGCTGCGTTTCCCAAAAGCATCGTGAGCCTAAGTTACTTGTAGAACCATTGTCACCACTGGAGCTACGATCAACTTAGGTTTACCATGCTTTTGGAAAACGCAGCCCAGGAGGATCCAGAAAGTATTCAGT